TAATTGTTTAGTAAGCCCCAATCAATTTAATTATTTTCCTTATACTGGAAATTGGTTTGATGGTAGCTAATTTGTATGGTTATGTGTAGTTTGTGGGGTTTTTTGTTTATTTATTTTTGAGAGAGAGAGAGAATCCCAATCAAGCTCTCCTCTGTCAGCACAGAGCCCGAGGCTCCTGAGATCCTATCATGACCTGAGCTGAAATCAAGAGTCAGAGGCTTAACCTACTGAGCTACTCAGGCGCCCCTGGTCATGTATAGTTTTATATGTTTAAATATTAATCTGATTAGTTAGCTCTTTTTCTGCTTTTCAAATGTAAATTATTCTATTGAACTGACAATTATATGTCCATAATTGCTTTTGTGGCCAGAATCCACAAGAGAATCTGTAATCTAGGATGTAATTTTATTAAAACCTGAGTTAACCTTTTGTGAATGTGACATTTCTTCAGGCTCGGTCCTATTATAGCATAGTTTTTAGGAGACATAGTTTCCAGAGACTGGTTATTTTATATTTCTTCTCTGATTTTTTTTCTTACCCATATTCCATTTTTTCCTCTAGCATTTACAACCTTTTATTCTGTACTTCCTGTGGGATTCCCATTGGTTTTCATTTGTATTCTACCCATGCTGCTCTGGCTGCCTTGAGAGGTCACTTCTGCCTTTCCAGTGACAAAATGATATGGTGAGTAGACTTAGATATTCTTTATCAAATACATGTTAAAAGAACTTCCTGAAAAAACAGAATGTGTGTACCAAAGAAAATGCTAAAGGGGCGCCTGGGTGGCGCAGTCGGTTAAGCGTCCGACTTCAGCCAGGTCACGATCTCGCGGTCCGTGAGTTCGAGCCCCGCGTCGGGCTCTGGGCTGACGGCTCAGAGCCTGGAGCCTGTTTCCGATTCTGTGTCTCCCTCTCTCTCTCTGCCCCTCCCCTGTTCATGCTCTGTCTCTCTCTGTCCCAAAAATAAATAAACGTTGAAAAAAAAAAAATTAAAAAAAAAAGAAAATGCTAAAGCCAGGCATTGTCGTTTACACAAAAAGATGGGCAGTGGGACCAAAATAAAGTCTCATAATGTTATGCTCATTTTAGATGTCTTGTAATCATACCATGTCTTATTAATCATACCTTGGAATAAATGAGAGGATATTCCTTCATTATAGAAACTTCTGGAACGTAAGCTTTTGCAAAATAATGTTCTAATAGACACTGATTTGTGCCCAGCCTCTGTTTCTCTCCCCATAGAGTGGGACCTTGTATCCTTATTTTTATTGTGTGTGATAGATATCATTCCCAGGTGATGGGATCAAGAATGAATACCTCACCCAAGCTAAGCAAATTAGGCTTTCTACTCTAGGAATTTGAAATAAGGACCCAGAGACATTGGTCATTTGTAAATGGTACTGGTGCTGAATTTGGGAAATGAAAGCTCTAGGTTTAGGATAGCTATTTTCTATGTTGTACATGTAGATGCAGAGAAATCTTGTCTGGAGAAAAGAATGATGCAGATAGATACCCACAGGAAGGTAAA